GACCCGCTCTCGTGGCGGGAGGGGCGTTACCTCGACACAGGGTGCTGGTGTTGTAGAGCGCGCAGGTCTCCCGCGCTGCCGCCCCTCTCTGCACGCAGCTCCCCGTCTCTGTGGGAAGAGGGAGCAGGGTTTTCCCAAGGGACCCCCCAGCAAACCAGCCCGTGGGGGCACCCAGTGCAGCCGATGGCATTTGGGCCCAGGGCTGCCCTGGGCACCCGAGGGTTTGGGATGGTGAGGAATCGTTCCCAGGGGTGGGCATCCATCCGAGGGGCTGCAAGCTGGGGCTCGCATCCGCACCCCCGCAGGGAAGAGCCCCAAACAAGGGCTTTATAAACAGCCGGCTTTCTCCCATCTCCATCCCTTGGTGCTGCTCCATCCGCACCTCCGTGGAGGGGGAGGTGGAGGGTTCCCAGTGTTACCCCAAGCCCAGCATGGCTGGGAGCAGCACATGCCGAAATCCCGCACCCCTGCCCGCCGGGCTGGCACGGATCCCCTGCTCCCCCCCGGGATGGGTCAGGTGAGACAGACCTTGACCATGGAAAGCAGCTGGGACCAGGCACCCAAGGGTGCTGAGCTGCCGGCACCATCCCGGCACGGCCCCAGCCCAGCGGCAGGGGCTGGGGAAGGCTGGTGGCAGGCGAGAGGCCCAGAGTAAGCTCTGGCTGTGGGAGCCCCTTGCTGTCCCCCCACACGGCTGAGCCCCCTTCACCTGGCTCCTCGGGGGTCCCGCAGCCCACCCAGACGCAGCCGGTGACGTTGTGCGAGGCGGTGCTGGCCGTGCATGTCTCGCAGGACCTCAGCTCGCCGCAGTCTCCTGCCAAAGCCGGGGGAAAGGGGTGAGGGCAGGGCCAGCATCCGTCCCCCCGTCAGCCGGGGTCGGGGCTGGACCCTCTGCTCCACGGAGGAGGATTTCTCATGATGCAGCAGGAGGGATGAAGGCACCTCTCGCAGCACCAAACCCACTGACAGACCCGTCCTGGCCAGCTGCAGGTGTGTTTGTAGCATCACCAGCTCTCTGGAGAGGGGACATCCCGCACCCCACAGCTCCTAGCACCCACGGCCACCCGGGACATGCGGGGCTCACCCCATCACCCACAGCCACGGTGGGCCGCAGCGCAGGGCAAGCCCACCCCAGCCCCGGATCTTTTGATGGAGGTTTAAAAGAGACAAGGCAGCACCACCAGCCCGGCTGCTCCCAGCAGCCCGGTCGGGGTTATTTAAGCAGCATCGCCCCGCTGTCCCCCCAGACCGGGGGGGGGTGCAGGACCCCCTGCTCCCCATCGCCCCAGCAATGGCAGTGAGTCACCTGGGTGTTCGCGGAGCTGCTCTGCCACGAGCTCTTCCCCCCACACACACACACACGCTCATCATTAATTTACAGTGATGACTGTCAGCGAGGGAGGTTGCAACGGGGAGCCGCGGCCAGGCCCTGCCTGCACCTCGTTGTGGCCCACGCCCGCGTTTGCACCATCCCGGGAAGGAGCCCACCTGGACGTGTTTCCAGGCTCTCAGGGGACAAACACACACCCCCCCTGCCCCCCCGCCGGGCTCGCAGGAGGGTGCCGGGGGTTAGCACCCCCCTGGGCTGACTCCCCAGGGGTCTCTGCCACGCAGGGACCGACTCAGCCTCGTGCTTGGCTTTGTCGCGCCGGCTGCACCCCATCCCCGCCGGCAGCGCTTTGCAGAGGGCTTCCCACCACACCACCTCCCTTTGGGGTGGGCAGCTCCAGTCCGTGTCGTCCCCCCCCCCAGCTTTTAGGGTCCTCCTGGCCGCCGGCGCCATGCCTGGCTGATAGAAGAGGCCCTTTCCTTCTCCCAGTGCCCCCAACCCCACCCCCCCCCCCCAGACAACG